AGGGCAAAGGTTATGGTGTTCCTTCTGCAACAAGCCCTGTTTGAAGGAGGGGGCGGGGGAGGAGGGGGGGAGAGTGAAGAGTCAGACAGTCAGACAGTCTGTCTGACTGTCTGACTCTTTCACAGGTTTCCCCTAAACTTTGTTTTTTTAATTTGATCTGTTTTTAAAACCTGATGAAATTTGACAACATTTCAGGAAACGCCCGAGAGTCGAGTTTGAACAGGTTTTAGTTCCTAAAATGTTTTTCCTCAGGATGACGTCGTAATCTGTCGTTTCATCGTCTGTTCTGAAATCTCTGCACCTCAAGGTGTGTGTGTGTGTGTGTTCAGTCGGTCATCAGAGTCGACGTCCGTCACCACAGGACGATCACCTCAGAGTTCCTGACCCGACGCTGCTCATCTGTAAACGACGTGAATGTGAATGTGATCAAAAGAACAGCCACTAATTAGAAACCTGACCTCAGGTCGATTGTTCGTAGCCTCGCTCTGCTCCTCACGTAGTTTTTTTTTTAGACCCAGTTGCTATGGAAACCGACATTAAGACAAAAAGAAAACGATTTGTCTCTCATCGCCGTGCGACCTAGCCTCAAAAAAACGTCCTAATATGTCGTAGAAATGGCTCCCTCCATCGGCCGTGGAAACAAAAGACTTCTTTACTCCTCTACCGTTCTCATCATCCAGATTAAATTTGACTGAACGTCCCCCGACTTCCTGTAGCTGAGAATTTGGTGGGCGAGAGAGAGAGAGAGAGAGACGGAAAACGTCAGGTCACCAGTCTCATTTTTATTCTATTACGGCGCCACCAGCAGGTTATCAGAAGAACATGTTTTCTGCGTTTGTTTCAGGCGGCCGGTGATGAAACGTCCCAGGACGTGTTTATTTTACGTCGGCCTGTTCTTTGGGTGATTACACGCTGTGATTACACGCTGTGACCTCTGACTGTGCTGTTGAGCTGCTATCAATTGTGGCTCCTCCATTTCAGCCGCGGTGACAGTTAGTGCTTCAGTTTTATTATTTTTTGGCCGTGAGTCTGTGCCGCGCTCACAGAGCAGCGGTCAGGGACGGGCAGATAATGGCTGTGAGGGGGGGGGGCGGGGGGGGGGGGGGGGGCAGTGGGGACGAGGTCCATCTGTGC